TTAATGAGTTTGAGAAGGTATCTACTATTGTAATTGCATTTAAAGCTTTTGATAGTTTTGTCTGATTCATCAGATCCTGCAAATTTAGGTTTCCAGGTTTCTCCTCCATGCTGCATAATCTTTGAATGTGCATTCTTGTACATAGAAGTAGCTCGTCTAATGACATCAAGAAACTGACTTGTAAATTGACACTTATTCTGACACATCTGCTCCAGTATAATAATAACAATACGTAATCGCCATTCCAATTTAATAGTCGTTTCTTCTGAAAACACATCATCGAACTCTTGAGAACATAGACTCTTCACAGCTGTATCTAACATATCCACTGACACAGAACCTCCTTTATGTTCGAGAATGTATTTGAGTGCGTAAATATTCTCGCAATATTTCAAGTCCGTTAGCAATCGCTTTATTTGCTCATCGGCTGACATAAGTCCTTGTTCCATTAATTGAAGTATAACTCTAGGGAAGCTGCCTTGATTTACCATGTTGCTCGATGATGATGTCATTGAAGGAGTGCTAGAACTCATTGAAGGGGGGATTGAGCTTTCAGCTTGAGTGGTCACTTCGTCATCTTGGTATCAACATATTTATTAGCTGCTTGTTCCCTATTGGCTAAAATTCGCTGTTGTGTTATGCGCAGGCTATTAGCATGCGGGTATAAATAGCAAATTTCTTTTTTCATACCAACATAATAGAGTTCAACAATGCTTCGAGTTCTCAAGAGTCTATCAATAATTTTTTTCTCAAGTATATCAGCAATGCTAACCTCCTATTCTTTCCTTTACTATACTTATTCACCAGAATCCACCATCGATGACGACACTCGTTTTATGCGTCTTCAAAACTCGATTCTCATGATGGATTGACTATGAGAGGTAATTATGATGTGAAGCTGGTTGATGGGTATTATGATAACGTGATTATGCTTGGGGGATGATGATTGTTCGTTAGACTGCCAAGCTTAGTTTGACATTCTGTGCACTGTGGTTTGTCCGTAAGTTAAAACCAAAAGAGTAATTCTATTTCATTTGCGCGATTGCCAAGAATTCTAATCCTGGAGTAATGCATCGCTAGCATATATATAACAGTCGTAGGCAGGCATCTATGTCAGGTAGAGTCGCAAATTGTATTTGGGGAAGAAGTCGATCTGGGCTGACGAGTACTGATGTATTAACTACGAATATCTTTTTTGACAGGCCTTTTTACGGGTCACTCGTCGTTCCAAACTGGCTGCTGTTTAAACAAGGTGCACTGAGACGTAATCAAGGGGTCATCTCTATATTTACTTTCTCTTTGGTTTGTTAGTCGTTGTTCTCGTCCTTAAACATTATCCATTTTCAACCAAATTTCACATTACACTTTTTTTGATAGCTTTGTCGGAATTATTCTAGCCTCGTCTGCAGACAGACGACGGCAGCGAAAACTCGTTCGAGCCGACCGCGCCGCGTCCCAAAATACTTAGTGATTTCTTAGCATTAATTGGCGCTTTCTTCTATGGATGTTATACCATTTACTAAAATTGCGTATAAAAGACGAATCTCGAGTAAGTATGCCCATATTCTTTGACTTTGTTGAGTTATTCAACTCCTTTATTATTTCTATGGTTTGATGCGGCTGGTATAGAAGAGTTTGTATTGCCATTTTCAGCGGCAAACTTTTGGATTACGATTACGGTCAATGCGTTGCTTGGGACATTTGCCTTGGATTATTTTGGCTATCACCATTAATTATCGCTGACGATACCGTTGGCAATTTTTGGAAATGTATTTGTAGAAGGAATTTTTATGGCTGGCTCATATTAGTTGGCATCATATTCCGTGAATCGAGAGATTCCCTGAACGCGGGCACGTAGGCAGGGCCAATTCAGCTGCCTCTTGGGTGAATTGATGGTATTTATTGGATTTGTTTGGGTAAACATTGTGGCAATTAAAGAGGAAGAAAGGAGCGGTGGTGGTTGGGTAAAGGATGAGGTACATGTAATTATTCGTGCAAGATTAGCCCATCAGAAGACTGAACCAAAACTGAAAGGGTTCCATAATTTTTAGAAAGTAGAAAGTTATTGTTAGGAGAGGTGAAGCAGAATGGGAGGAGAGAAAAGGGAAAAGAGTGGGTTGCGATGGGATAGGTTAGGGTAAGAGGGACGATGGGGTGAGGTGAAAGCGAGCTTATTCAAATTACGATTTATTAAAACAGGAAAGAGGTTCTTGAGTTTCTCCTAACGACAGGCGAAATGCAACTCAAAGAATTAATCAAACACGATAATCGGAGCACGGATAGGTCGAACTTATTCTGTTCCATCCAGTATTCTCTGCCAAATTCGGCTTTTACATATTAATATTGTTCAGAGGGACGATCCGGCAATTCTCCTCAAGACGGGTGATTATCTTACAGTCGACAAAGACACCTCGATTCCAACTAATGATTTGGTGATGAACGAGGTGGATATGTGGAACTACGTTGTTTCGTGGTGTAAAGTACAAATAAACAAGACTTTCGGCCGATCCGAGCAAATGGGTAGACGAAGACTTTCAAGTTTTGAAATCACATCAAAGCGATGGTAAGAGTGACCCCGAACTTCTATAATCAAGTTAGACCATATAAAAAGATTCTCCCAAGGGAGCTATACCAAGCTATTCTAAAAGACAATCCATCCCTAGCCTTTATCACCAAATGTCCTTCCTGTATCGATTCTAATCACGTTGATATTCTCGCTTCTTGGAGAGATCGCAAAGGTCGGGATCAATACTACTTTAAAGAGAACCAAGTTTCTTCCGAGAGGCTCTGTTTTCGGCTTCACGCCCCGCCAAAGACATTCCATGAACTCTGCGAGATGCTAATGGTCCAACAGTGGTAGTCATCAAATCAACCCATTCCAAGGATCTCATCGATGGATATAATCCCATAGGTTGGCGCGACGATGGTAGTACAATGGACAGTTTCTTGTTCAAACTGTCTGATAATTTTGGAATTGGCAGGATATCTCGTGTGAGAAATAAACATGCGGCGGTTGAATAGCATAGCGACTGCGGACTGCTTTTGGATGTGATCTGTGCTTGCATGGGTATTTCAGAGACGAACAGAGTTGTTATTGTCGACCCGAAAGTTATGCATCGCCGATATTTTCGAACGTGGAGACGTTTAATGATGAAATTACGGATGGGATGGTGACAAGCGGCGTGGTAACCCGTATATAGTAAATAATAGGTGACTTCACTCTATAAACTTTAATGTCTGTCGTCACTACTACGTGTATTATATATACACTTAATATATATACAGTATATACTTTTAGTTTTGAGTTAATCATTGTAGCTTGGATATGGAATGAGAATCAATGTCGATAAACATACTCGTCTAAAGTAACTGATAAGCGCATTACTCGTATGGTAAAGACTTTCGTTATAACCGATAAATAGTGATGAGAGCAACATTTGAGTTTTAATTTGAGACTATTAGTTGAGTCATGCGATCTCACAAACTGTTTGTTGATTATCGTAAGTTGTAGAAAACTTCACTTTCATTACGCCAATGCTTTTTAATAAACATGCAACTAATTACTAATTTCCAGTGTGTGAATATGAAAAGATCGTTATCAATAAAATGCATCAATGTCCATTTATGTGTATCCTCTTATTGTGAACTTCCTAATACAGAAAAGGCGTCGATTCTTATACACTCGGACTTTGTGTGTGGTATTCGGCTTGCTCCTATTAATGTTTATTTACTTACACATTTCTCAATATGCTCCTATTTTACCTAATAAGCAAATTTCAAGTCGTTTTAAGTAATCACTGCGCTCGATCAGCTTTACCGGTTGTGTCAGTACGCCGATTATAACTACTACTGCTATTATACGATGTACCAGATACGAAACTCGGACCTGAAAACTAGAGACCTGAGATTATTATCTTATTCATCAAAAACTGCACGATCCAGAACATTTTTGTGATCATTGACATTATTCCAAATTCGAACGCATCAACAAAGCAGTAGAACACAGCCGATTTGAGTTTAGAATGCGAACGCTTTAAACCTACTAATAACGCCTTCAAATTGGATCATCGAAAAGTCTTACCTTGAAGGATCAGCTGATTAACAGACCACATCGTGTACATTCTCAGCAATAGAGCGCGTAGTCAGTTGACGACGATAAACATTGTTACCAGCACGTATATCATTGTTGTACATTTTTATATGTAATAAAATAAATCTATATACAGTGGGTAGACAAAAGTCTTCGGACAGTATTTTTTGTGACGCGCACTGTACAACTTTGTTTATAGATCGTCTACCACAACTAAAGTTCCCTTGTTTCTTCCAATATTATTTCTCAAACGTGCTTAATATTAACTGACACAAAATAGAACTCTGAATATGAGCGAACTGAAATTATTGGGTTGCAGATTAGCCCTAACATTCGAAAATTCGCCCACGCAAGTGATGCAATCCAACGATACGAACAACATTAAATGTTTACCTGTCTCCCAAGACTAACCCTAACCTTAACTACTTGGATAATATTAGATAAATTGTGCATATCTAAATCTTATAAAGAGTATGTCGAAAGGGTACAAGCGATGGATGGCCAACTAAACATGATATTGCACATCAAACTGGAACTAAAATTTCATGCCCAATTATTATAAGTTTCCGAGAAAATTTAAGTACAAAACTGTCTGGAGACTTTTGCCTACCCACTGTACGTTGACCGCACAATTATTTCTATTATGCGATGACAGCTTTTTTCGTGCCATTATGTTTGTACATTCCGGCATGTGATGTGATGCGTACTCCCCATTATTATTATTGCCGTCCCGTCCAAGGTACATAACCGTCAATTGCGTTATACACATTTCTTTATTTCTATGTTTTACTATTATTCGCTTGAGTACATAACTCAATGCGGACGGCCGTTGTTCATATCTGCGTTGCGTCTTTGAATTTACAGTAATTACGTAAGGTTTAATGAGCGAATACTAGCCCATAGATTAGTTTCGAGAAAACAAAACTATAAACGTTGAAAATAGACAAAATCATATCAATATTTTTGCATTTCGTGCTTGGTCTATAATGCAATTGCTATTCCAATAAAGCAAGGTGCGTATATACAGTAATCCGAAATATGTTATATAAGCATCATGGTGTTGTGCGAGAATGAATACTTCTTGCTTACGTATTTATTGAAAAATAGATACCAGGCCGTGCTTATACATATTGCACGTACATGATTGTTTTTCTAATTCAAGTATGATAACCTGCTCTGTATAACCAGGTCTTCATAACAACTTGCATAGTATTGGCGAGGAGACATAATTTCATAGTTTAATAATAAGGTGTGGATGCGTGGTAGTGACAACAGTACAATATAGTAACGCTCGCTTGGCTTAATAATATATGGAATTTCTGCTACCAGGACAAATATATTGGTTATAATTAATCATTTTTACGCCAGTTGGAAATGTTTCAAAGTTCAAGTTACTATCACGTTCCATAGCATCTAACTTTTCTTCCGAATATAAACAAACCCAATAAAAGTCGACTCCTGACTAGAATAGAGCCAAAGTTAGAATAATCGAATACATTTACATAATGAATGCATAAACAATACTTACATTATCACTAATAGCAAATTCTATATTAATGTCGTCTTCGGAGAGAACATTAACCGCGCATGGTAAAATGTATTCAGTACAGTAGCCGTTATATTCAACGTCCATGAAACATAGCATTTCTTCAGTTGATGTTTTAATTGTTGTCTACAAAATCAAATGTTTGTATTTATTATGCAATTAAAACTGCAATCAACAGTACTTATCTGATACTTACCATCATTGTGATTGTGATTGATTTCCAAATGTACAACAAAAGGCCGAGTTTGTATTTATTCGGAGGTACTTGGAATATGGGTATTGTTAACTAATATATTAGGTTGGTTGTTAGTTAATATTACACAAAAACGTAAATAATTGTATTGACAATTAACCACATACTTTATTAGATCCATATAAGTGTAAATATCCCCAACGTGAATAACTATTAAATGATAGATGTTAATAATAATACTATCATAACAAATAGGTATTATTATAAATTACTTACTCAAACGCAGTATCTTGGATATGGCTTTCATATGCAAAATGTGCTTTCAAGTGACCTAATAATGACAATATAATAAATATAAAGTAACAAAATAATATGCATAATAATATATAAATTTGCAAGCACAACCCTTACTTTTATGCATATAATATACTTTTTCAAAAAACGCCTTTGTATGTTGGTAATGATGCAGAGTGTTGTTATGCTTTCTATACCATGTTACTGCAGTGTTGTACCATCTGGTGTAATTGGTTGCTCCATATTGATTACACAGTGATTTCCATTGATTTATGTTACTTAGCATGTTAAATGCTTGAAATGAGCAACAATCCACAATGAGTTTAAACCATTCTACACCAAAATACTCAAGTTTGTTTACATATTTATTAACTACATTAAATGCCTTTTCTTGCATATCTGGATGCCTAATATGCCCAATATCTTGTTCAGCCTCTTTCATATTCTCCAAACCTACATGTGCCAGTAAACTTAAATACCAAGCATCATCATAACACTTGTTTATGCCAATTGCTGTCTCAATATCAAGCAGGGCTTTTCCAAATTTTTTCATATCTATCATAATATTTGCTCTACTACATAATGCTTGATAATTGATGGGATCAACTTGTAGTATTTGTGAATAGCTGTTCAAAGCATTTTCCAACTCCTTATTTTTATATGCAGTTTTGGCTTTTTGAAACAATTTGTTTACACTTGGTGTTGTTAATGAATTCAAAATTGAACTCCATCTTCTGTTCATTACTTTTGGTTTTTTAAGATCGTCACACTTATCAAATTTTTTTGCATCTGCATTAGTTTCAGCATTAGTATTAGCATCATAAATATCATGTACATGGTCATGATGATTGTCATCTGCAAGATAATGTTGAACATTGTTGTATATAGTTTGTTGTGGCAGATAATACACTTTATCCTTTTTAATTTCACTTCTGCAATAAGGGCACTCCAAGTTGTTTAATGATAAAAAAGCCTTTGAGCTAATAATATGTTTGCAATTAAGCTGATAAAAGCCACTGACTGTTTCACAAACAATAGTACATGTTAGATCTTCTTCAATATAGTCAATTGGATTTTTCTCAATATCAATATCAACACATCTTCCCTTCCCTTTGTCTTGCTGTTTCTTATTTTGAGCATCTGTCATTGTTTGATCTGGTGAATATTTTAGAACCATTTTTGATTCAACTTCTAATTTCTCTTTCAGGTAATCATACATGCTAACCAATCTTGGTATGTACTTCTCATCACAACCAGAAATGTCATCAGGTGTTGTAACAAACAATTCACTATTTTTGACTTCAAGACTCAATAACACTTCAATGGATTTGAATTGAGTAAACTCAGTGGTAGCCTTATTCAATGAGTCTAATGCTATGTAATAACAAATAGCTTGTGTAGTCATAGAAAATGTTTTCTGTACAAGTTGCTGGACAATATCTAAAATACCAAACCAGAGTTCATCACTAACACCCTGATTCTTGGCTGCATTTTCAGCATAACATAAGCTGACATGATACCAGAGATACTCAAGAAGCACTCTTTCTTTAAAGTTCACTGAAATGGCAGATTCTTGTTCACACCACTTGTCAAGACAATCTTGTAATATAATAAGCTGTCTCCAGGTTGCATACCATGGCTTGCCTGATGATTCAACATGAAAGGCTTCTTTGAAATACTTCCAGGATCTTCCTATGTCAAAACCACCAAGAGGAACTTCAATTCCTGTAAATAATTTAATCCCAACTTTAGCTAATCCAGGAACAGCAACAAGTAAACCTTTTAATGCTGCAATTGCCCGTTCAACATTTGTCTGATAATGATTTTCAACACTACAAACAGTGTTTAAAGTATTCTCAATGAGTTTGAGAAGGTATCTGTTATTGTAATTGCATCTGAAGTTTTTGATAGTTTTGTGTAATCTATTAGATCCTGTAAATTT